TTTGCCTGCCCTTAGTCATTCTGTTTCTCTGTTTATGTAACAAAGTATTTTTTAAAATGATGATCCAAAGGGGCATGAGTTATCTAGTATATACTACTGGTGGTAGGCTATTGGTGGTAGCCTACTACCACCAATAGCCTCCCACCGGCCAGTACGCTCTCATAGAGAGGGACTCCTCCGGGTGCCGTCAGCCAAACAATGTCGGCTGGCGACCCCTAGGGGGAGAGCCTTCTCTGTGGGGGCACCTACCATCTGGAATGAGCTCCCCCCAGAGATACGGAGGATCCCGGATCTGCGCACCTTCCGCCGCGCTGTGAAGACCTTTTTATTCCATCAGGCGGGCTTGGCCTAATCTCTTCCCTTTTTAAACATGTAAATTTTAATCTGTTTTTAAATTATTGGGGTGTTTTAAATTTGACTGGGCCAAAATGATTTAATCTGATTTTATCTGGTTTTTTAAATTTTTTGTATCTATGTTATTTTATTGTTTGGCTGTTCACCGCCCTGAGTCCTTCGGGAGTAGGGCGGTATACAAATCAAATAAAACAAAACAATAAAACAATATGTTAGCTTCAGCCAATATAGTCTGAAATTGCCAACATATTTGAATTTTATATAACAATTTCAAATTCATTAGATTTGATTTAAATTCAGATATCTAAGATTTACTTATGGTACTATTTGAAAAAGAATCATAGGCAAGTTGTTCAAATTTAAATCTAATCTGAAGAGTATGAAATTATAGTCTTATTGTTTAATTGGTTGATTGACAAATAAATATGGAACATATTTGTGTTATTCAAAATATAATTCCCCAAAGACTGTATAGGTCTTGAGGGACGTCAAGTAACTGATTTTTATTTATTTATTTAGTGTACAACAATGTTACATTAGCCAGGAGATTACAATGATAATACATAGTAATCATTTGGCTGCGTAAGACCACTAGCCCTGTTTGGCTCATGCTCTCACGCTTTCCAAGCTGCGCCACGGGGGGTGAGCTAGCTCCGCACTAGAAAGAAAGATGGACAGCTTCCTGCAACATCATCTGAAGCCCCTCCCTCCACTGAAGCCACCTTGCAAATGGGTGTCACAGGATTCTAATGGTACACATGAAGCGCCGTTTCGTCTTCCCATGGAAGTGGTACTTATTTATCTACTTGCATGTATCATGCTTTTGAACTGCTGGTAAGCAGAAGCTGAGGCGAGTGAAGGGAGCTCACCCTACCACACACTGCTAGTATTCAAACTGCTGAAGCAAAGCCCATCTCCAGTGTTATTAAGCTACTAAGCCACCACGCCTTTAAGTAACTGTGAATGCAAGATATTTTATCTAATTACTTAAACTCTTAATTACTAGAATCAAAATTTCAAATTGTGCAAACAGAGCTATTACATCATATATTAAATTTACATTATCATTAATGATATCTTGGGGAAGGTCATTTATTGTAACCACTAACATACAGAATCACACAGTACTGTATTAAGAATGAGAATAAAGAGCAAACAGAATCTCTTTTCCCCTCAATTGACTCATTAATAAATGTCCTGAATTGGTTGACAGGCATGTTAACATGGTTGATGTGAAAACTATATATATGCTATTCTCTTTTATAGTTTGCTCTCACATATAAATATTTTACTATTTTTCCTGAAAATCAGACCCTGTCTTATATTTTTTTTTGAACCCCAAAATAAGCGCTTGGCCTTATTTTTGGGGAGGTGTTATTATTTTGGAGCATGGTTTTTGTTTTTTTTTTGCTTTAATTTATATGCCGCCCTTCTCCGGAGACTCAGGGCGGCTTACAATGCGTTAAGCAATAGCCTTCATACTTTTGTATATTTATACAAAGTCAGCTTATTGCCCCCACAATCTGGGTCCTCATTTTACCTACCTTTGAAAGGATGGAAGGCTGAGTCAACCTTGAGCCTGGTGAGATTTGAACTTGCAGTAATTGCAAGCAGCAGATGTTAATAACAGTGCTTTAGTCCACTGTACTACAGGCTCTTACACATTGAGCATGTGGAGCAAGACAGGACTCCTCTTGCTGTCTTACCTGATTTCCAGCTCTGTGTCTCTAACCCTAACCCAAGGAAATGGCGGGGACTGGCTGTACATGCAGTTTAATATTTTTTGGAAAGAGTTTATTTTCATGGAGGGCTTATTTGGGGGGGGGGGCTTATTTTAACGCATGAGCTCAAAAGTCAGATTGGGCTTATTATCTGGGGAGGTCTTATTTTCCGGGAAACACAGTATATCCTAAAGATTTATGTAGGTTTTAAAATTATTATTTAAAAGCTGTATGGAAAAGAGAATGAAGTGTTGAAAAAAGATACATTTCTCAATAATGTAATAGCAATTATTAGGAAAAAAAACCCTGCCTACATAAATAATTGAATCTAGGAGGCAAGTTCTTGAACCTGAAAAGGATTCAGATTGAGTGTTTGTTCCTCTCAAAGTAAACCAAATACATGTCCTCCAGGGGGCTTGCAAAGACTAATCTCTTTTTTTGTTTAATTTCATTTTAAGAAATAAAATCAATTAGGAATAAATGTGTAACTTGCCTTTCCTCCCTCTATTCTTATTACAGTAGTTCTATAATGCAACACTGAGAATTTACACAGACAACAATCACAAGGCTTCTGTCTTTGACTCCCACCACCCATTGCTGATGTTGCATACAACCCTTGAGGGTGAAAGGATCACCTCCCCATGATTTAGATTAGTTGAAATTGGGTATTTCAAGTTTCTGGGTGTTTATTATTTTTTTCCTCTGTATATTAATCCTTGCTCTTTTAAATAGCTAGGAAAAAAAGCCAATGAAAGTTTATGGAGTCCTTGATGTACTGCTTATGTTACCCAGTCAGGTAACAAAATGTCTGTAAGAAAAGAACCAAGGTCAGAAGAGCACTAAGAATACCTGAGCTACCTATATTCTGTTCTGTTGCAATGCAAGTTTGCTACAGATGGAACAACTAAAATAAATGTCATTTAACTATGATGCAGTTTTCCTCTTAGAACTGAGAAATCATTTAATGTGTACAATTTTTCCCACCTGGTTAAGATAAATGTTTATTATTAAGTTCCTATGCTGCAAATATTAAGTGCCAAGCATTTTCCTTTTTCCTCACATACTACTTTTTCATAGACCACTGACAATATGGCCATTCTCAATAACTCTCAAAAGATCCTAATGCAGAATCCACATGAGAATAATGATTCTGAAATACCAATTCTCAGCCATGGAACTGTTACATTAATTAGTGCCCAAATTAGGAGTTAGATTCAAACCTTCAATGTTTTAAATTTATTGGATTTGCAGTTTTAAACTTTCTTCTGCAAGGGCATCTAAAAAAAAAACAAAAAAACACCACACTCTTCTCTCTTGAATTGGCTAGACACTGGAACTCTCCTTTGAGCAGAATGATATGGTCCAGAAAAAAGAAATAAGTTGAAAGGCTTCTTTTAAATGACCTTTCTTCTCAAAACTTTTTGTTACAAGAGCAAACAGGGAGAATAATTTGGAAGTACCGGTACTACTGGCAATCAGTGATTTCTCTGAGAGTTCTTCAATTTCTGCATAAGATTGTTTTAGACCCAGTTTGGGTTAGTGGAGCCATATTAATCAAATGTCTTCACACATCAGAGAGATATTGAGTATATTTTTAAAGCTTGTTTTAGTATGACTTCCTATAACAGAATGCTATTGTTTTTTTTTATTTATTTTTAATAAAAGCTGTTCAATATATATCTCAGGAAATACACATTGTAAAACAGAACAAACCAGTTCTGATGAGATGCCTTTAAAAGAACTACAAGAAAGAAAGTACAAGAGAGTACTACTGTAAAGACAATAAGGGAATAACTGTTTTCCACTGGGAAAAAAATTAACTTGTAAGAGAAAGGGGGAAAGGAGGGAGAGAGGGAGGGAGGGAGAGAGGGAGCCTTTTTGCATAGTTTGTAGAATCAGTGAAAAGATGACTCTGTAGTACAAACCTAGGTGAAGGGCAGCTTCTGTCAGCAGGCTGTATAAAGCAACCTAGATAGTATTTGCATGTGTAAGAAAGGGAAGCAACATGCAGCACTGTGCAGAATATTAATGAGAATAGTGTACACAATACTAGGCAAAGCAAATTGTGTCTTGCATAGGTGTCAAACAGAGAAGAAAGGGGGTGACATGCAGATATAAAACAGAACAGGTCAAAAGTGGATTATTACAGGAGGGAAATAATATTTGGAATTTATATGCCACTGAGATTAGCTGATTTGAGGTAGAAATGTGCACAGTGATCAGGTAAAAGGCATGGTTGGTATGAAGCAGAAAACAGCAGGAGCAGAAGAGCAAAAGAGGCCCAGGACTCTGGAAAAGATATGTTCTATGTGCCTTTTTGAGGGAAATGTGTGAAGAATGATTGAAAGAATAGAAGTATGCGTGGGTGTGAGAGAGAATACAGTGTGTGTGTGTGTGTGTGTGCACGCACACACATACACACACACATATGAAAGGCAAGGAAACAGGCATGTCAAAAAAAGAATAGATGGTGCATATGTACACAGTCCAATAAATGTAAGAGAATAAGATGCCTGTATAGACAGCGTGTGCGTGTATTTGTGTGTGTGTGAGAGAGAGACAGAGAGAGAGCGAGGGGGGGAGGGAGGCAAGGACAGAGAGAGAGAGAGAGCTGATATAACTGGCATTGTAGGGATATCTGACAGGAATGAATGGAGGAGCGTGTATTTGCAGTCTGCCTGCACCGATAACAGAGCAAATGTGACCCAGGGACCTGCCTGAGCGAGTGGGGTGGGAGGCGCGATTTAGACGAAGGCAGACAAACGCTTCGATGTGTGCCGGCTCGCTTTGCTCCCTTCTCCATCCTTAAAAGAAAGGGCGGCAATCCTGGTCGAAGGCCCGCTCCCCCCCCCCCCCGCCCCCATCCCCTAGCTAGCTCGAAAAAGCCAGCCAGCCAGCTAGAAATAAGCCGGTCCTTTCACTCACCATCTTGCCGCCGACAAGGGAGGGGTCGCTCGTCGGTGGCCGACAGGGCACAGGTTGTTCCGACCGCTACTGCTGCTGCTGCTGCCTCAAACGGGGGAAGGCAGAAAAGAAGAGGCAGCGGCGCGATGCTTGCCGCCCTCCTCGGTTCCGCTGCCTGGCAGGTGCTCGAACGGGTTTAGTCGCCTCTGCTTTCTTCTGCCGCTTTCTCCCTTGCTGCAGCTTAAGGAAAGCCGTGGCCGTACCATGCTCCCCTCCCCCTCCCCCTCCTCCTCGTCTTCTCCACCGCAAGGATCAGGCGGGGACTTCGGAGGCGGAGGCGGGGCTAGGGAGGGGCCGGGGGGAGAGATTCCTCGCTCGCCGACGGATGGAGGGGCGGGGGGAGAGGGGGAGAAGGGGGTCTTGGCGGGAACAACGCCGGCCTGAATACTGGCGGCGGAGGTGTGAGGGATTATCACCGCATCTCTGGGCTGCAGGACCTGAGTTACCGGACGGTCGCGGTGGGATTCTTCTTTGGCCGTCTGCCCACACTGAGCGCCTGGACCTTGTTGGGCCGTAGCAGCAGCTCCTCTCGCGCCCATTTGAACTTGCCCCTTTTGCTGTCTTGGCTAACTCGGCTACTACGAGGCTGCGCTGAGGGAGCCAATTTGCAGCATCCCTTACAACCTCACACATTAGAATAATGGAAGTGCAATAGGTATCAACGCTTTATATCTTCTGTCGGCATCATTCTCCTATTTCTTTGTACAGCTAGATAAATGTTTAGACTGGGTTTGGCATTTTTATCCATCAATCAAATCCTGGGATAGGCAACAACAACAACAATAACAACAATCGCTTCCATCCTGCAACGTATCTGTAACACCATCAAACATCCAGATCTGCGTGCCATCCAGATCTGCGTGCGTATCCCAGATCCTTGGTAAGGACTCGATAAGTACACAAAAATGCCAAACCCAGTCTGAACATCTGGCTGGCTGTGCAATGATCAACAACAACATAATAATAATAACAATAATAATAATAGTTGACTGAGATTCATGTTTAATGAATAAAAGAGAATAGTAATAATAATAATAATTTATTATTATTATAATAACATTTTGACTCTACAAAAAACCACCTTACTCGGAACAGCTTACATCCTCCGAGGATACCTTAACAGTTCCTAGGTCCTTGGTTAGGACTCGAGCTGCTGAACTATTAACCAGCTTCAAAGGCTGTGAATCTCACTAAAGATTAACCAATAATAATATAAGCAGCAAGAAAAAATCACAAAGTACCAGGACTTGCAAATAGAAGTTGAGCGACTGTGGAAAAAGAAATTGTGTGTTGTCCCGATTGTAATTGGAGCCCTTGGAGCAATACCCAAAGGGCTATCCCGCTATTTAGAAATTCTAAATTTGCAGGACTTGAACATTTTGACTCTAGAAAAAACCACCTTACTCAGAACAGCTTACATCCTCCAACGATACCTTAATAGTTCCTAGGTCCTTGGTTAGGACTCGAGCTGCTGAGCTATTAAACAGCCTCAAAGGCTGTGAATCTCACTAAAGATTAACCAATAATAATAATAATAATGACGACGACGATGATGATAATAATAATAATAACATCACTGTTTTTGTTTCCTGGTGATTTTTTTTCTTCATCCATATGCTCCAATACCACTTAATTTTGTTGATATTATCAAGGGTGACTGAGGTGCATATTTACATAGCCTCGCTTCAATTTGAATAATTTATTCTGAAATGGTTACTATTTACAGTTTGGCATAATCTATTCCACATAATGAACTGTGGAGGAGGTACGGAAACCTAGGCAGCCCTGTCTCTGAAAGATGGAAAATCTTACTACATCTCCCTGTTGGCTCTTGAGGCTTATTTTCCCCATTGGCCACAAACTGTACATATAATATTGTTGGCTAACATAAAATAACTTATGGTTCAAAATGAAATTGAGGTGCTCCGTCAGCAGAGCAGCCAGCCACAGCAAAGGCACTTGGTATATTATAGATATCTCAACAATTCTAATAGTGTAAGTATATCAGCATATTAGAACAATTCTGGGTCATTTTCTTGCAGAGGAAAGCTTTTCTGAGTGGTTGGCAATCTGCTACAGTAGTGGTTAAGGCACCAGGCTAGAAATCAGGAAGCTGTGAGTTCCAGTCCCGCCTTAGGCATGAAAGCCGGCTGGGGTGACATTGGGCCAAGTATTCTCTCTCAGCCCAATGGTTAAAATGCCAATAAATGGGGCATTCAATTTTTGACAATCTGTAGATTCAAATTTGCTTACAGATTACTGAAACTCCTGGTGATCAAGACAATGTTGTTCATGCATCCTTTTCACTGCACTTAATTACATTTTCCTGATCCCATGCCTGTAAGATTTATTTTTTAGAAAATAAAATTGGCAACTTTGCAATGGGGGAATTGCAAAATGCATGGTAAAGGGGCATATACAACATAATGCCATCAATGGTACCAATGGTACCATTATCATGGTAAACAGTTATGATACTTCAGATTTTTCCTTTAATCTTTTTTGCGGAAAAAGGGTTGGGGCAAAATTAAAAGAGCACAGTGAGGGACTCAGTAATTGATCAATAGCTGAGAACTGATTGGCTAATACCTCTGCTTTTTTATTGACCAGAAAGAGTATATTCTGACTGGTTGGCAAGTAAAATGGCAAGAATAACCCACTCAATTCCTGCTTCATAATGGTTTTGAAATTAGACTTTCAAAAGAATGGCTGGTCATGTGGAAATGTGCTTAGGGTATATTCTATAGTCTATACTAAGGATGCCTACTAGGATTTTGTCCTTCCTCTGGACTATTATGTTACAACAGAACAACAGTGAGGCCTAATTGCTTACTGTCTAATTGTATCTAAGCTTACTGCACAAAAAGATTTGCCAGCTATTCAGTGACTAGTGCCTCTCCTATACTGTTCTGCATAAAATCAGTGATGGTGCACAAAAATCATGGTTTTTATTCTGTTTTTGTGCAAAATTGGACACCAATAATTGAAACTTCTCTCTTGATTGGCAGAGCTGCAAAATACCATTCTTAAATGATTTACTGCAAAGATTTCTGGTCTACACAGGTGAAATCTGTTTTGGATTTCTAGATATGAATGAAATAAAAACAATTTATTTGTTCCACCCACACAACATTTCTTCTTGAACTCTCTTCTTTTTCACTGCCCCCCAAAAAATGGCTATTGAAAACCCCCATGCCAGCATTTATTATACCTGCATACAAACATACAAAAAATATTTATTTGATTTTTAACTCATCTTTATTATTTTATAAGTAACTCAAGGCAGCAAACATACCTAATACTCTATCCTCCTCCTATTTTCACCAAAACAACAGTCCCTTAGAGATGAGTTGGGCTGTTAGAGAGTAACTGCCCAAAGTCACCCAGCCAACTTTCATGACTAAGGTAGGACTAGAACTCACAGTCTTTTGGTTTCTAGCCTGATGCCTTAATCACTAGACCATATAAAGTGTGAATAAGGAATCTTTGAGCCCCATGAAGCTTCTATGTGTTCTATAACTAGTACATATCTTTTTATAATGGGAGTTTATAAGCATTTTTGATCAGTGATATCACTCCGCATCCTCCCCATTTGTTCAAACTGGATATGATATCATACTCCCTCCCCCAGAACCTCTTCCGATTGGTACAGAACCCAAAGTAGCATTGACCCAAACTGGATATGACATCATATTCCCTCCCCTGGAAGTGTTTTTGATTGGTCCAAGGCCAGAAAGGGGGCTACTTTGCTAAATCAAAATTGATATCATATACCCAAATCAGGAAATAAGGGGATTGTCCCAAAACCTGGAAATAATGACGAATAGGCCCAAACTCAGAACTAACATAGCCCTTCAACCACATACAGCAGAACTAGCAATTTGAATTATGGGAATCCAGAAATCATTCTCTTACTAAAAGCTATGCAAACTCTAACCATATTCCTCCTTCATTTAATTAACAGAACCCTATTTTTGCATCCATACATACACACACCACATGCTTTTTTAATGTTAGAAATATGGGATTTGACCCCCTCTTTTCTAGTCAGTTTATACAGCACTTTCTGCAACAGTATTTTTCTGTTTGTAAAACTGAAAAAAAATCTACTTTGCAAATACATGTAAGAATACTGTTTATAAAATTATTCTACCCACCAACAAAGTCAGAAAAAATGAATAGGGAATTACAGGGGTTTAACAAAAATTTGCAGCCAAAGAACTTATTATGAATAAAATGATGAGGCTTATTACGGGTTTAAATATAAAATGAATGGCAAAGTGGCAATTTTATGAGGTGTGTTTAGGGAGTGCAGGAAGACAGCCCCCCTTTTCTAAAATAGTTGATAAAAAAAACCCTTCCCAAAAGCAAGGAAAAAGGTTCGCCTTGACAAGAGCTGACTTGTGTCCTCCCACTAATAGGAAATTGCCCGGAACAGTTTTCGCAAAGCACCTGTGAATGGAAAACTTGTATCCATTCATAAAAGTAGTACACTTTTTGTGAATGGAAACTTAGTAGCTAGACAGCTCTATTCATTTTATTTATTTATTTTATTTATTTAATTAAATTTCTATACCGCCCTTCTCCAATAGGACTCAGGGCGGTGCACAGCCTAAGTAAAAACAGAGCATACAAAATTTAAAAACAGTATTAAAATAATTAAATATTTTGGCCGTAATTAAAACAACCCAATTTAAAATCAATTTAAAATTTATAATCATAAACAAAAGCATTGCCTGCTGCAGCTAGCACAGAGCACAGAGAACCGAAAACTAAATAGAGTAAGCATGGAGACAGACTGAATTTTACTTCCAACAATTTGGCACCCCAGATGAGACTCCAGGCTAAGCTGACCAGTTATGGACCTGACCCTCCACCTTGCTGGCAGCAGACCCCTTGTGTCTTTGGGTGGGTTTCCTAGACCTGGCCCATTTAGAGCAAGGGTAGTAAAGGATGTTTTGAGTCTTGCTCAGAAAGGAGGTGAGTACCGCTAAATTTAAATCTTGTGGAAAACCCCAAGGGAATGAAAGGACATGTGTGAGTGAGTGGAAGGGCTTCTCTCTCAATCAAAGCTGGATCCTGGATCCTCTGTGCCATTTCTAGCCACACCCAGACCAATTGCTAGTTCCACCAAACTGTGACTGATGAGTTTTGGAAAGCAAAATGGTTTGCCTGGAGTGTGGGATCTTCTGCAGAGAGCAGGAGCCAAGTGAGTGACAGGAAGAGACATATT